TCCTGGGTTGTTATTGGTCTATTTAGTGTCTCAATGTCTTCTTGTTTCAACCTTGTGTGATGTCAGAAAGTCCTCCATTTCATTTAGATGATCAAGTTTGTTTCCATACAGGTGTGCATAGTAATCTCTGGTATACTTTTGTATTTCTTCGGAGCCAGTTATGATTTGATCTTTTGTATTTCTGATTGTGCTTATTTGGGCTTTTTCTCCTTTTTCTTGGTTATTTTGGCTGGGGTCCGTCAATCTTGTTAATTTTTTCAAAGAACCAGCTTTTTATTTTGTTGATGTTTTCTATGATATTTTTGTCTTCTGTATCCCATATTTGGGCTCTTATTTTGGTGATCTGGATTCTTTTGCTAAAGTTAGGGTTTTGGTGGTCTTCTCTTTCCAACTCCTTTAGGTGATTTGTTAGGCTCTCAATTTTGGATCTTTCCATTTTCTTGATGTGTGCTCAGAGATATAAATTCCCCTCTTAGAACTGTTTTCATGGCATCCTAGAGGTTTTGGTAAGATGTTTCTTCATTTTCATTTGTTTCCAGGAATCTTTTAATTTCTGTTTTTATTTCAGTGTTGATCTAGTAGTTGTTCAGCATCATATTGTTAGTGTTTATCTCTTTGTGGGCTTTGGGGAAATGTTGTTGGTGTTGATGTTTATTTTTATTCCACTGTGGTCTGAAAAGGTGCATGGCAATATTTCAGCACTATGGAATTTGTTTATGTTTGATTTATGGCTGAGGATATGATCAGTCTTGGAATACGTTCCATGTGGTGATGAGTAAAATGTATATTCTGTGGTTATTGGGTGGAATATTCTGTAGGTATTTATTAAGTCCATTCGGTTCAGTGTCAATTCAGGTTTAGGTTTGAATCTCCTTGTTGATTTTTTTCCTCGATGATTTATCTAGGGCTGTTAGTGGGGTAGTCAAGGCCCCACTATAATGTTAGAGTCAATATCTTTTTTTAGTTTACTTTAGTTACTTTATAAATGCTGGTTCTCCTGTGTTGGGTGCATATATGTCTAGGATGGATATTTCTTGTTGATAGATTGAACCTTTTATCATTATGTAGTGTCCTTTTGTTTTTTTTTTAAATGTTGATAGCTTAAAGATTTTTTGTCTGATATTAAGATCATGACTCCTAGCCGGGTTTGGTGGCTCAGCCTGTAATCCCGCGCCTTTGGGAGGCTGAGGTGAGTGGATTGCCTGAGCCCGCAGGTTCGAGACCCGCCTGGGCAGTGAGACCTCATCTCTACAATAAATCAAAAATCAGCCGGGCATGGTAGCGCATGCCTGTAATTCCGGCTACTTGGAAGGCTGAGGTGGAAGGATCGCCAGAGCCCAGCAGGTCGAGGCTGCAGTGGCCGCTCCCAGTGTGGGTGACAGAGTAAGACTCCAACTCAAAAAAAAAAAAAAAAAAAGATCACGACTCCTGCCTTCCTTTGTGATCCATTTGCCTGAAAATCCTTTAACTTTGAGTCTGTATTCATCCCTTGTGGTGAGATGAGTTTCCTGGATGCAGAAAATAATTGGCTCATGGTTTCTTATCTATTTTGCCATTCTGTGTCTTTTCAGTGGTGCATTTAGTCCATTCACATTCAGGCTGATTATTGAAATGTGGTTGTTTATGCCTGTCATGAGGTTCTTATAAAGTTTTTTCTTTGTTTGCTTCTTTTCTTTTAGCTTTGGGGTTGATGTATGTGTATGTTTTTAAGTTTGTTCATGTGATGTATTCTCTGTTGATTCTGTGCTCTGCTGTTCTCTTGGGAAGTGTGTGGTCATTCTTTTTTTCTTTCTTCTGTTCTTAATACCTTTTTAAGTGTCTCCTGTAGAACTAGTCTGGAAACTGCATAATCTCTTAGGGATTGGATGTCTGGGAATGATTTTAATTCTTCATCATTGATGAAACTGAGCTTGACTGGCTAGAAAATTTTGGTTGAAATTGTTTATCTCTGAGGACCTTGAATATTGAACTCCAGTCCTTTCTTGCTTGTCATGTTTCTGCTGATAGGTCTGCTGCTATTCTGATTGGTTTCCCCAGTAGGTCATCTGACTTTTCTCTCTTGCTGCCTTTAGAATTTTTTCTTTTGTGCCTACTTTATGTAGGCAAATTACTATGTGTCTAGGGGTTGGTCTTCTCATTTGATGTCTTGTGGGGTTTCTCTGTATCTTTTGTGTTTGGCTAGTCACATCTCTGGTGAGTTAGGGAATGTTTTCTTGGAAAACCTCCTGGAATACTTGCTCCAAGGTTTCTCTATTTCCCTTTCTTCTTCTGGGATACCAATTAGACATAGGTTCAGCCTCTTGATATAATTGCACATCTCTTGTAGGCTTTGTTCTTTCTTTCTATGTTATTTACAGATCAGGTTAATCCCATGTTCTGGTCTTCACGTTCTAAGATTAATTCTGCTTTCCATGCTTGTCCATCTTGTTATGTATTTCCTGGATGAAATTTTTTATTGCCAAAATCTCTGTTACGTGTTCTTTCAGTGTTGCATCTTGTCTTTCTTAAGTCTTATTCACTCTTTCCATCTGTTCCTTAATCCGTGTCATATTCTAGGGCTAGTTGCTGGTGACTTCCATTGTTTTAGGCTCTGAGGTCTGATTTTTCAGGAGTTTTCTCTTTGTTATACTTGAAATTACCTGTGGTCTTCCATTGGTTTTTCCTCATTTGTGACAGATCTCTTGCTTTTCTCTTTAGTTCCGTTAGTCAGTGGCATTGGGAGAGGCTTTCACTTTTGATTTTTGCTCAGCCCACTTGAAATTACCTGTGGTCTTCCATTGGGTTTTCCTCATGTGTGACAGATCTCTTGCTTTCCTCTTTAGATCCATTATTCAGTGGCAGTGGGAGAGGATTTCATTTTTGATGTTTGCTCAGGCTCTGTATTTGTTCCATTTTGAAACAGGACTGTGGGTGGGAAGCTTTGCTGTCTCTTGTAGTTTTAAAAGTTGAATAAGGTAGGGGATGGGGAACTAAGATTCAGAAATGATTTGCAAATCACAATGTTCACTGGTTGTGTTATGTGTTCCCTGAGACCCACTCCCCATCACCACTCTATATGATGATGCAATGGGTATGTGTGTGTACCCCCTGCATCCAAGATACGGTAACAGCAATAAAGAGAACAGAGAAAAATAGAATAAAATAAGATGAACAAGAATTTTTTTTTAAATAGAAAAAAAAACACAGAACAATGAAAGCAGAAGCCAAAGCAAAAAACAATTGAACATACACAAACAGACAGACACACAGACACCCCAAAACAAACTAGAATAACAACAAAGTGAAACAAAACAAAACGACAACAACAAAAACCCCAGGAAAACCAAAGGAGAAAAAAAAAAAAATAGAATTCAGATTGAGCCCTCACAAATATATTCACACACACCTTAAACTAAAAAAAAAAAAAAAAAAAAAAAAGATAACGAAACAGCAAAAACAAACTACCAGCAACAAAAAAACCCCTGAAAGATAAGCACTCAATCATTCACATACACACATAAACAGAAAACAAAAGAAGGAAGATAAAGAAAAAGAAAAGAAAAAAATGTAGGGGAATGCAGATCAAACCCTCACATACATATTCATGCACAAAGGAAAAATATTTAAAAATTATAAGAACAAACAGGCAAAATATTTTTTTAAATTAAAGAAAAATTAAAAATTAAAAAAAAATAACCCTGCTGTCTTGTGGCAGGTTCTGTAATTGTTCTTCTCGTCTGCTTCCCTGCTATCTCCTGCAGAGCTTCCACCACTTTCACTTTCTCCCCATTGTCCGGAGCAGGGAAGAAGTAGGAACCGTGGGGGTGGGTGGGGTTGCAGTCCTCCCCTCTCGCCCTCATATGGTCAGGGAGATCCCCTCCGTTTGAGAGGTGTGGGGGGATTGTCTTTTCCCCTGGTATGTACTCGCAGGGGTGCCCCAGCCAGGCCTGTCCTGGAATGGAGTTCTATTGCAGCTGACCTTCAGGCTCCCCCTGGGTTCATCTCCTCTAAGTTGTGCCCCATCTGTGGGGTTCTGACATTCAGAGGATTGCTGGGGAGAAAGGAGGTTGGGTCAGCTGGGGTCTCACCACTGATCTCTTTGGAGTTCTTCCTCATCCTTTTCTGGCCACACCCTTTGTCCCAAGGCTGGATCAGGGTAGGGAGTGGATGCCTGAGACTCAGCACTCGTCAGGTCCCTCAGAAGTTTGTACTTTAAGGATATTCCCTCTGGGTCACAGTCAACCCCTGAATAGTTGATCTGCTGGTCACAGAGATCGGGTCTGTTGTTCCATGGTGAGCAAGTCAGAGCACTTTCCTGTCCTGTTTTCAAGATGGTGGTGGGGTGCCTCTTTCGTCTTCTCCAGTGGGACTCTGCCTCTGGGCTCCTTCCATAGCTCTTGCTGCCAGTGTCCGCCTGGCACTGCAATGGTGAGGCAAAGCCTGGAACCGGCAATTTCTCCTACTGTGGTGGTGAGGCAGAGCCTCCAGCCGGTAGTCTCTCCCCACTGCTTCTTTGCAGGAACATTTTTGTCAGTTAATAAAAAAATGTTTCTCAGCTTCTGCGACAAGGGAAGCACTAGAGACCAAAGAGAGCAGCTGCAGCACCAGCTGCTCCACCAGGAGGGCCCTGGCCACTTGTTCAGTCTCTTCTAGCATCTTCTTCTCAGGTAGGGTTTTGTTGATTAAAAAAAAAATGACTCTTGACTTCTGCGTGCAGGGAATTGCTATGGTCCAAGCCAAGCAACTGCAGCACCAGCCGCGTCACCAGGAGAGCCCTGGCCGCTAGCTCCCTAGCCCTCCCTCAGGCAGCCACTCACACAGCCACTCACTTGCTGGCACGTACACAAAATTTTCCATACACGCAGTCACTTACACTGGGACTTGCATAGTCTGACTGACTTGGCTGCCATCTTCTAGATACCTTATTTTAAAGTATACATCATCTTTATTCTCTCAACAACTATACATCTTCCAACACAATGATACATGCCTTCTGATTTCTTTTGTTGTTCTTATGGCAGGTCTGGACAAAGACTGTCACCTGACTGAACCACTTGGCATGAGAATAGCAGAGTTTCCTTTGAATCCCATGTTTGCCAAAATGCTGCTGGAATCAGGTAGGTAGAGCCTGAGAACTTGTATTGATTTTATGTGGATTGTCAGAGGAGTTGTTTTTCTGAAACTTGAGCACCCTGGGAAAGAGGGGAAAGAGAGCATAACTGTAGTAGAAAACAAGCAAAACAAAACATAAAATGTATCATTTTAACCATTTTTAAGTGTATGGTTCTGTAACATTAAGTAAATTCACATTGTTGTACAGCACCATCCATTTCTAGAATGTTTTCCATCTTCCCTACTGAAACTCTGTACCCAGTTAACAGACTTCCTTTTAGCCCCTGGCAACCATCATTCTATTTTCCGTCTCTATGTATTTGGCTACTCTAAAAGCCTCACATAAGTGGAATCATACAATATTTGTCCTTTGACTTGCTTATTTCACTCAGCATAATGTCTTCTGGGTTTACCCATGTTGCAGTGCATGTCAAGATTTCCTTTATTTTTACGGTAGAATATTCCACTGTATGTATATACCACCTTCTGTTTATCCATTCATCGTTTGATGGACACTTAGATTGCTTCTACTTTTGGTGATGGTTAATATTACTGCTGTGAACATAGGTGTGCAGATATCTCTCTGAGACCCTGCTTCCACTTCTTTTGGTTATAGACCCAGAGTGGAATAAAGAAATCATGTGGTAATTCTTTGTTTAATTTTTTAAAGTATTATTTATTTTTAATTGTCAAATAATAATTGTATTTATGAGATACCATATGGTGTTTTAATCTATGTATACATTTTAGAAAGATTCAGTCAAGCCATTCAACATATCCACCACCTTACCAACTTACCATTTTTTTGTGATGAGAACAGTACAAATCTATTGTTTTAGCAATTTTGAAATACACAAAACATTATTAGCTGTGGTAACTATACAGTGCAATAAATCATTAAAACCTATTCTTCCAGTCTAACTGAAACTTTATATTTTTCAATCAATATCTTCCCTGCTCTACCCCCTTCCCCAGCCTCTGGGGAACTTTCTACTCTTTTTCTGAGGTTCACTCTTAAATTCCACAGATAAGTGAGATCTTCAGCGTCTGTCTTTCTGTATCTATCTTATTTTGCTTAGCATAACGTTCTCTAGTTCCATCTGTGTTGTTGAGAATAGCTGTATAGTATTTCATTGTGTGTGTGTGTGTGTGTGTGTGTGTGTGTTTATATATTATTTTCTTTATTCATTTATCCACTTATGGACACTCAGGTTGCTTCCATATCTGGGTCATTGTGAATAATACTGAAATGAACATGGGACTGCAGTTATCACTTTGACATACTGATTTCAGGTCCTTTGGCTATATACCTAGAGGGGGATTCCTGGGTCATATGGTAGTTCTATTTTTAATTTTTTGAGGAACTTCCATACTATTTTCCAAAATGGTTATACTTTGGTTTTGCTGTACCATTGTGCATTTCTTCTAGTAGTACACAAGAGTTCCAATTATCTTGATACTTTCAGATTTTTGTGAGGACTTGATTTCTAGGATAAAAGTATATAACCTGGAGATCTTCTCATTATTATAAATCAAAATCATCTAGACAGTATAGTTTGCATTTTTCCAACTTTTCGAAAAATAGTTTAATTTTTCTTGCTTTTGTCTAACTTTTGTGTCAGCTAAAAAAAATTTTTTTTTTTTTTGTCTGTTATTCTTTTTTTAGAGTCAGGATCTTTCTGTTGGTCAGGCTGGAGTGCAGTGATATTATCATAACTTACTGCAACCTCAAACTCCTGGGTGCAAATGATCCTCTTGCCTCAAACTCCTGAGTGGCTGCAACTACATGCTCAGCTAATTTAAATATTTTTTAAAATGTTGCTTTTTAGGAAATATTAGGAATATTTTTTAGGAAATATTGTCCATGTTGGTCTTGAATTGGCCTCATGTGACTCTCCTGCCTTGGCCTCCCAAAGAGATGGGATTATAGATATGAGCCACCATGCTTGCCCTCAAGTGGCAATTTGTGAAGCTATATTGCAGACCCAGCATGGTGAAAGCTAACTGTTCCTATGTTTTTGGAACAGCCAGATGCCCTTAGCCTTCCATTGAGAAACAGAATTATAGTTGTGAGGCTGGAGGCTGTGGGGAGATGGGCAGTCAGTGCATTGTGCTCTGCCTAACACCCTGGAGTGCTGATTGCTGCTGATTCTGTTTCCCGGTGCTAGCAGCAGCCCACAGAGTGGTCTTATGGTGCCTCAGGCTTCCCAGCTGAGATGAGCCCTTCTGAGAGGGAGGTCACTCCATAGACAGATCCAGAAGCAGAGAAGTAGCAGAAGAGACACACCCCACAGATTCCCTGTCCCTTTTCCTGCTCTGGCTTACCCCTCAGGGTTATGGCTACATAGTGGAATGGCTCTCTTCTTAGAGTCTTCAAGACTGCTGTTCATTTGGTAGGGTGATGTCTTTATATACAATAAATTTTTTTAAAACTGTATAAAAATATGAGTTTACAGTATGGTGCAAGGAAAATTCCAGAAAATATCTTTCACTCCTTATTAACACATATGTTTGAAATCAAATATGCTTTTTGTTTTTTAGGAAATTTTGGCTGTTCTCAGGAAATTCTAAGCATTGCAGCCATGATGCAGATACAGAATATCTTTCTTGTCCCTTCAAACCAGAAGTCTCAGGCTGTAAGTCCAACTTTCTCCCCAAGCTGTTTATACCAATCTCTTTCATTTCGGACTTTCCTTGTTAAAACTCTACCCACCAACCGCTGAAGAGAGTTGTGCAAATGTTACCAGCTCACATTTTGAATGTTTATTGTATGTCTGACATTGTGCTAATAAGCATTTTAAAGGGCATCATTTCATATTACTTTTACCATAAACCTGGGAGGTAGATACTATTATCATTTTTTTTCCATTTTTTTAAATTATAAAGATGTGGGGTACAATTCAGGGTTAGGTATACAAATATTAATTATGCAGGTACCCTTGTTGATGAGGTGTACCCCTCCCTCCCCTAGCAGTTTCCCTCAACTGCATATCCCACCCCCACCTCCCCTGGCAGTTTCCCACTACTACCAATCCCTTTTTTATATTATTATAATTGTTCAAGTTCTGCTTATGAGTGAGAACATATGGTACTCTGTTCTTTGTTTCTGTGATAGATCACTGAGTATGATAGACTCTAAATCCATCCAAGTTGCTGCGAAGTCCATATGTTTGTCCTTCTTTATGGCTGCATAATATTCCATTGTGTGTATGTACCACATTTTTTTTTTACCCAGTCCAGCTTTGATGGGCAGCACAGTTGGTTCCATGTTTTTGCTATTGTGAGTAGAGCTTCAACAAACATACGCATGCAAGTATCTTTTTTGTAAAATGATTTGAGTTCCTCTAGTGAGATGATTTGAGTAAGAACATATGGTACTCTGTTCTTTATTTCTGTGATAGATCACTAAGTATGGTCAACTCCAAATCCATCCAAGTTGCTGTGAAGTCCATATGTTTGCCTTTTTTTATGGCTGCATAATATTCCATTATGTACATGTACCACATTTTTTTTTATCCAGGCCAGCTTTGATGGGCAACATGGTTGGTTCCATGTTTTTGATAATTGTGAATAGAGCTGCAACAAACATGTGTGCAGGTATCTTTTTGGTAGAATGATTTGAGTTCCTCTGGGTATATTCCCAATAGGGGAATTACTGGGTCAATATGGAAGATCAATTTCTAGTTCTTTCAGAAATCGCTACACTGTCTTCCATAGAGGTTGCACTAGTTTTACATTCCCACCGGCAGTGTAGAAGTTTTCCTTTTTCTCTGCATCCTTGCCAGCATCTGTTGTTTGTTTTATTAATGATGGCACACTAGTGACATAAGAAGAAGGGTGCCTGGGCAGAGTAGGCTGATTCTGAGCACCACACGGCATCATGGTACTATTGCAGGTGGAGCATTTTAAGCTTAAGAGATGCCAAGACCCTACCTAAGGTGCAGGCATTCATGATGAATAAGAGAGTGAACACTGGAAAGACTGAAGGAACAGTGAGGATGTTGTAGGGAACCTCGGAGGTGAGGTGTGCTGACAGAGGTGGGTCAAAGGTGAATTCAATCAGTTCCTGTTTGGAGAGTCAGAGGAGTGGCAGCCTTGCACATGGAGGGGCTGAACTTGGATGTGTGGTAGGAAAGAGAGAAACTTCCTGATGTATTGTTGGGGTCTTCTTTGACAGTTGTATAATTGTAGATTACAAAGTTTTTCTGCCTCTGTGCTGGATGCTTGTATTTGTTTGGTTTTTTTTTGTTGTTGTTATTTGTTTATTATCCTTTTTAGCAATCTTATCTCAGGGCAGGCAATCTTTATCTCACTTTAAAGATGAGAAAACTGGGATGATCACTCTGTGGTTTTTCCATGTATACATTAATACATTTGTATGCTTTTTCTCCAATTAAAAATAAAGATGAGAAAACTGAAATTCTGGCCACTCTGTGTAAAAATGTGATGTATCCCTTCTTCCTGTCCCCATCCCCTGCTTTATTTTTCTCTTCTGGTGCTTCTTACTACCTGATGTGCTAGAAGAGTGCCTGGTCCATAGTAGGTGCTTGGTGAATCTCTGTTAATGATTGGGTGAAAGGAAAGAAGGTGTGGTATTTGGTTCAAGGATAAAAATCTGAAGTTAAATATACAGTCATGTGCCACATAATGACATTTGCCTCAACAGCAGACCTATATACGACGATGGTCCCACAAGATTATAATACTGTAACTTTACCGTACCTTTTCTGTGCTTAGCTATTTTTAAACACACAAATACTTATCGTTGTGTTACAATTGCCTATAGCATTCAGTACAGTAACATGCAGTACAGGTTTGTAACCTAGAGCAGTAGGCTCTACCATGTAGCTTATGTGTGCTGTAGGCTATACCATGTAGCTTTGTGTAAGTGCACTCTTGGACGTCCATACTATGACAATATTGCCTAATATCACATTTCTTGGAACATATCTCCTCTGTTAAGCAACACATGACTATATGTGTGCTTGCATATATTGTACATGCTGTTCCTTTAACTCATGGGAATGGATGGTATTGCCCAGGGTCTTACAGAAAGAGAAATTGAAGGATGGGTTCTGAAAGGTTGTGCAGCTAGTGGTGGCCTAGGAATACTGAGTGTCTACAATGTGTAGACAGTCAGCCCCCTGCCCTCCTGGAGCCTACATTCCACTGGGGGCTGGGAAGAGTTCATCTGAAAGAGAGGTACCAACTGATTGAGGAAGAGAGAGACAAGAACAATAATATTTATCAAATTTCTATGCCAAGTGCTTTATAGTAAATTATTTTAATTCACAGCAATCTTGATAGAGATGTTTAATTTTCCAGTTTTACAGATAAAGAAATTGAGATTGAGAAAGGATAAGTAACCAGTCTGAGGTCTTTCGGGATATGGCAGAGCTAAAACAGTGCGGACCCGCTCTTTCTGGAAGCACTGCCCATATGCTGTTCCATTACTCATTGTGCAGGTTGCTTCCCAGTAAAGAGGCTCACAGGAATCAGCTTTTTTTTTTTTGAGTTGGAGTCTCACCCTGTTGCCCAGACTGGAGTGCAGTGGCTGCTCCCGGCCACCACAGCCTCGACCTGCTGGGCTCCAGCGATCCTTCCGCCTCAGCCTTCCAAGTAGCCGGAATTACAGGCGCGTGCTACCATACCTGGCTAATTTTTTTTTGTTTATTGTAGAGATGAGGTCTCGTCTGCCCAGGCGGGTCTCGAACCCGTGGGCTCAGGCAATCCACTCACCTCAGCCTCCCAAAGGTGCAGGATTACAGGCTGAGCCACCAAGCCCGGCAGGAATCAGCTTTTAAACGTTGCTTCATTCTTTCCAGGTTCGAGTGCACCGTAAATTTGCTGTGGAGGAGGGTGATCACCTCACAATGCTCAATGTGTATGAAGCATTTATCAAAGTAAGTGCAACTACTGCTCGAACTATTCTTCAACGTACTTGCCCACTCAGAATGATAGAGAAGTGAGGATCCCAGAGGTTCATTTCATAGGGGAGGGGCCAAGAGAGGACTGTCAGGCCTTCTGCCTGAGTTTTTGGTGTGGTATTGCTGAGAAGAACACAGGAATTGTTTATGGCTTCTCTTGCCTGGAGATATGGTGCACTATCAGGAGGCTAACAGCTTGGCCTCATGGTGTCTCATATCTACCATGTATTAGGCAGAAAGGCAGCATGTTAATAGAAAGTTCTACTGTATTTTCTGCCTGGTAAAATGATGCTGAGAGCAACTTGTAGTCTTGGTTTCAAAGCTGTCCCAACTGTCATGAGAAGGCATTTAGACAAGGATCTGTGCATATTCACATGTCCTACCCATATTAGCCAGAGGTAATGTTAGTTTTTATTCTTAATAGTCTGTAAAGCCAAGAGCAAATTGTACAGCTTAAAGTTCTCACTAGCGATTGTTAAAAAGAGAGATCTAAAACTGATGAAAATGATGAAAAAAGAAACCTCTCATATAAAGGAATGGGTGTAGGTCAGGTGCAGTGGCTCATGCCTGTAACCCAGGCACTTTGGGAGGCCAAGGTGGATGACTATTTGGAGGTCACTAGTTCAAAATCAGCCTGATGAACATAGTGAGACCCTGTCTCTACAAAAAGTTAGCCAGGTGTGGTGGTGCATGTCTGTAGTTCTAGCTACTCAAGAGACTATGGTGGGAGGATCTCTTGAGTCCCAGGAGTTTAAAACTGAAGTGAGCTGTGATTGTACCACTGCACTCCAGCCTGGGTGACAGAGTAAGACCCTGCCTCTAAAATTAAAATAAAATTAAAAAGGAGAGAGTATTTCAGATTTTCAGTATTCATTTTTTAAATACTCTTAAGAAGTAGAGAAATACTAAATTTTTGTTTACCAGTGCTTTGAGGAAGATTATTCAGTTAATGAAGAGATTTCAGGAACCCCCCCAAAACTTTATCTCTTATTGATATTTATGGCTCTAATCAGTTGGAATTCATTTGTGCAAGCTCAGTGTACCCTTTCTAATCTGAAGCCTTGTCTACCAGTTAGAAAGTGTGTATAGGTCTACACTGCATTATTCTATAATTGCCTTCTTGGCAAATCTAATATTAATACATTTTCTTATTTAAACCACTTGCCTCTCTGACTTGGAATATAATTTCAGAAATACAGTCCCATAGCAATAATTTAATCCAAGACATAACGATCATACTTAAGATTGCAGGAAAAAGAAAACACTGTTGGTAGAAAAAAAAGTCATACTTTGGAGACAAATAATAGTAATTTGCAAATTATTTCAATATTGCCAAGTATCATATTGCTTGCCTCTAGTGTAATAAAGTGATAAACTCAAGCACACCAAAGAAGAAAAGTCGATTTGTAAAGAACTGCAGGGAAGGATTCTTTCTAATGGCCCATGTCTCAAGTAGGTATTTAGGATGGAAAACAGCCCTTCTTATCATTAAGTTTTCATTTGGCCTTCGGTGCAGGGAGTGAGACTGCAGAGCAGTCAATGTGTACTTGGTTGTTATCATCTGTCTTGAGAGATGAGGCAAACAAGGAGCCAGTTCCAGTCTGGACCTTGTCCCATTGAGCTAGCAAATGGGAGAAGAGAAAAGAAGTATCTTCATAATATGGGTTTAGTCAAGAACCTTTCTTTGTTTTTCTAACTCTCCCTCTGTCTGGATTGTTTTATAGCACAATAAGAGCTCTCAGTGGTGTCAGGAACATTTCCTGAATTACAAGGGTCTAGTCAGAGCTGCAACTGTGAGAGAACAATTGAAAAAGCTTCTTGTCAAGTTTCAAGTGCCCAAGAAGTCTAGCGAAGGTGAGAAGAATCTGCCGCAGTTGGTAACCACCCCTCTTTGCTCTGTTTAGTTGCATCTTTAAGGTTCTCATGCCCGGCTGTGCGAGGAGGCTCAGTTTGCTCTGTACCTATAACAGGTTTTATATCCTGAATTGCCTGCATCAATGACAAACTGTCAAGTTGCATATTTTTTCCAGGGAGGTTCATTTTTATTTCTGAGGGCTATTTTTACTAAAGGAATTTTATAGCCCATAGCAACACCTCAGAATTTTTAACGTTTACATCATTACACATCATATAATTGATTTTCCCATGTAGGCTTTCCAAGAAAAATTACTTTTAGTTGGATGATATTTATGGCTGTTACATAAAAATAACATTTTATTTTCAAATACACATATTAGTAGAGCATGTGCTGTCTGTTTAGCCTAGGCAGTCACTAAGGGTAAGGCAAAAAAGTACTGTGTGAGACATAGTTCCTGGCCTCTAGCAGTGACAGTGACTCCCATTCATCAAACACACAGTACGTTACACTGTGGCAGGAGTTCTACAAATACTCTTTCACTCAATTTCTTACTCTGTCAGGTGCAAGGGATAGTATCCTTATTTTACAAATGAGTCTTAAAGTTCTAGGGAGAAGTTAAATGAAGTTTAGGACAACATCGCATGTAGTGAGCGGAGCCAGATCTGTGCTGCTCAGAAGCCCACACTTGTGAGGAAGTGACACATTTGCTCATTCATCCAGCAGTCGGCTTGAGAGGCTACTATGTGCCAGGTACTCGGACACATTCTTAACACATTAGTACTTGTTAATACTTCTTGAGTGCTTATAATAGGCCAAGCAGTGTTCTGAGTATTTCATATATTAATTCATTTAAGGCTCACAACAACACTATGAAATATGTGCTGTTATCTCTATTTTATGGATGAGAAAAATTAGGCCAAGAGGCAAAAAGTAACTTGCTGAAGGTTACACAGTGGGTGTATGTGGAGTCAGAATTCGAACCTAGGCAGTTTTATTTCAGAGCCTTATTTTGCCTTTATACTAAGCAAGTGATTTAAAAATGACAAAGACATGGTTCTTGCTCTAAGGGAACAGTTCAGTAAAGATTCATACTGATAGGTAGACTACTGCAGTAGCTCTTAGAAGTTAAAATAGTAAAGCCGGGCTCCGTGGCTCAGCCTGTAATCCCGCGCCTTTGGGAGGCTGAGGTGAGTGGATTGCCTGAGTCCGCGGGTTCGAGACCCGCATGGGCAGCTAGACCTCATCTCTACAATAAATCAAAAAATCAGCCAGGCGTGGTAGTGCATGCCTGTAATTCCGGCTACTTGGAAGGCTAGGGTGGAAGGATCGCCGGAGCCCAGCAGGTCGAGGCTGCGGTGGCCGGGAGCGGCCACTGCACTCCAGTCTGGGTGACAGAGTGAGACTCCAACTCAAAAAAAAAAAAAAAAAAGAAGTTAAAATAGTAGACACTTCAGTAATCACAGAAATCGCAATAGCAAATATGGTAGGGATGCAGGGAAGAAGGAATGTAGTGGGTTAACCTGGCACCTGGTCTTGCGGGGTGTGGAAATTCGTCAAGCTTTGGGGGACTGGTTGAGTTAGGAAACAGTGGCAAGGGGCATGCTAGACAAGGAAGACTGGTGACAAGTGTGTGGAGTGAGGAGCGTATTTGATGCTCAGAGAATATTCAGTGAATGAATACGTTCATGAGAGAGGAAAGAGTTGAAACCTAGGGGATTGGGGTCATGTTGGTGTCATTGACAGGAGCAATAAGCTTTCAAGGAGCAGCTAGTGGGGAGATGCTTGTCAAGCTTCTCTCACCAGCAGCTAGATGACAGGCTTACTTCTGCTTGTGTTTCTTAACCCATTTTTCATTACCAAGCCCCTGCTTAGGAGACAAGTTACATTCAGTTTAAATTCTTCCTAACAAGAGAAATTAAATGCTAAGAAGTAAGATTTTGTAAGGTTGGGCTAGAGGGCCACAAACCACTGTAATGTTTAAGATATCCCACCTGCCCCTACCTCCAAGAACCATTTTTTTTACCCCTTTTGAAATGATACTGCCCCGATAAGAATACATGGAAATTTCTTATGGGCAATTGCAAAAAAGGGACTGAATCTCAGATCATATCATGGTTAGATTTGGGATTTACCAGTTTTGTGCTTAGGAACAGAGAAAATCATGCAGACTAAATAAATTACATGCAAATTGAAAACATCTAGATATTAAAAAAGAAAGCAACTAGTGACATGTTTTCAGCTATCATGAGGGTAAAACAAATAATAAAGATTTAAAGCTTTATTATAGATTCTATTTAGCTTCTTTAGAAGAAATGTTAGTTTTCAAGTTGATAAACAGACAAAAGATTGGGACAAAAAATTCACAAGAAGAAATAGTAGATATCAATCAAATAAATACAAAATACAAGAAGGTAACCCTTTTGCCAAAACATTGCTGGTAAGAATGCAGTGAAACTGACGTTTTATGTAATGTTGATGGCTTTTTAAATAACAAACCATTAGGGAACTCACTTACCAACACATTACATTTCATTGGATCTAAGATATCATCATATGTTAAGGCATATCATTTTTTTGTGTATTACCAAGAAAGGAAAAATGCTGCTAATTATAATTTTAAAGTTCTATCCTAATTTCAGTGAGTTAAAGGTGAAAAAAGAATGTGTCTTAAAACTGATGAAATATATTGTATCATAAGCCATAAAAATGACATTATCCTTTTGCATAATAATTTGGAATGTATCCTATGGACATGATCTAATAAGTGGAGAAGCTTTATCCATGGAAGATGTTTACATAGAAATGGAAACACCAATTAAAATGGAGCATTTGGAAATTTTGAAGAATTACTTTAATTTTCAAACAGTGTAGCTTATAGCCACAGAACTAATATAGTAGTATAGTATTCCAGTTTGCGTCTTATGGAAAGAACATCATTCCCACAAGAAGCTTTCCTAAAAAGGAGTTGAGGTCACTGGCCAGCCTGTGGAGTAGCTCTTTTGGGTTCGAGTACCCAACTGTGGTCCAGTAATCTGTGGTCTAAGGATTCTGGAGGGGTCCCAAGTTCAAGGAGCAGTTCTGCGTTGTTCTACTCAGTGGCCATGCTGGAAAGTGAAACCTCCTCAGGTGGTGCCAGGGCAGGCATCCAGCATTGAGGAGAACAGGGCTGGGCCCAGATCAGGAGAGGGTTTTGAGGTGACTTGGAGCAGCCGAGGATGAGGCTAGGACTGGACCCTGTGCATCACAGCCCTGAACATACAGCAAAGGGCAGGCAGAGTCTCATCCATCATTCTGTTTGCTGTCTGTGTAGGTGATCCAGATCCAGTTCTGAGGTGCATCGTTTCAGGATTCTTTGCCAATGCAGCAAGGTTTCATTCTACTGGAGCCTATAGGTAACATGATACTTTGTGAAATCATTTGTCAAAGGAGAAATCTGTAAAATGATCCACTCCCCTCAGAAGGCTGATGTGCAGAGTTAGTAGAAAAATTAAATAATTATTTTAAATTTTTATCATATCACCTTTCAAAACTGAGTTGAGTTTAGCTATAGAGCTTTAAGCAAAATATCTTAACTTTCTGGAAATGGTTTTCAAATATTCAGCTCAGCTATGTTATAATGTACATTTTAGAAGAATGACATGTCTGGAGACCAGTAATATTTCAGTTCTAATAATAGAAGAATATACCAGAAGGAACCATTAAAGATGATCTTTCCAAGAGAAGTTACTTTTACCATTGGCTAGGTCATTATGTCTTCAGAGATCTGCAGGACTGAAGTCGCCACCTACCCTGGTACCCTGGTACACTGTGGCCACACTGGTGTCTTGGGAGGGTGGCAAGCATTCTTTCAGGTGCTGGACATGCCTCCCGCCATGGTCTACAATGTGTTTCTTCCTTTGCCGGTTTCTAAGCATAGAAAATCACTGATCATCAGTGTCTTCCTAATCTCCTTTAGTATATTCAAATATAGTAAAAATGAAAGCATAGCTAACCTTTTTTCTCCAAACTGAATGATTCCAGTTCTTTGAAGTGTTACTTTTAGTTTGTCTTTTCTGTCTCTTGGTTTGTTTTAGTTTTATGATTTCATTGTAACCTGCTTAAAGTATATAACCATCATTTTCTGTTCTTTATTAAGAGAAAAATCAAAATAATTTCTCCCTAGCTGTGTTTTGAATTTCCTCTATATAGTATTTTGTCATTAAGCTTTTTTCCTTTAGGAAAGATTACATTCCTATATCTTGAGGTCAGCCAAGATATCCCTTGTCCTGGACACTGGGATTCTATTAATGAGTCAGGAGTTGCATCAAGCATTTTTTAGCTTTGGCAGCCAGATCAGCTCCATCTGGTACCCTAGACTGTTTGAACTGAAGTAAATAGTACTTATGTTTATCTCTAGTATGTTCTATTTGTCACTCCAGGCCAGGTTTTCCAGTCTATCTGTATCATGATTCTGTTGGCCATTGTGTGAGCTTCCCTCCCCACAGTGAGTTGTCTGTGTTTGAGGCAACTTCTTCTGTGTGGAGGTGAGTACTCTTTGGAGGAGACTGAGGTCTTCCCCGGCAAGTACTGACAGCTTGTCATCTTGATGGCCTCTACTCTCCTGAAGAGTATTAATTAACAATTTCAACTAGCATTGTACAGATTCTTTTACTGGTGCCTTCAGCAAAAACATTGGCTACTAGGACCCCAGGGTTCTGGCTGTATTGCAAATGCTGGTGATGAGCATGGTCACAGTGCTCAAAGCCCTTCCCCTGATGAAAATGATGGACAGGTTCCTGGCATCCACAAGAAACATTCTATAACTGTGTTTTGGGCAGCGGTATCCCAGCCTACTGATGTTATCTTGTGATATGATCTTACTGATAATTGTGTGCTCAGTAAATATTTTTGAATTAGATTGAAGCAACTCTGAGTTAGAATTGGAAGTACCATTTTAGAGAAGTTCATAGTCTGATACTGAACTTTCTTTTTTCACTAGCATTAGCTCCCCCATAGTCCTTATTCTTAGTATTTAACTTTTTTAGTAAAAAGTCTTATAGAAGAATCCACATATATTCTTTTTGTCCCAAAAGAAATTGTTCTGAAAGAGCTCCTGCAGAAGATAAAACATAAACTCAGGCAGAGCATTCCATTTCTAAATGTTGTTGTTCCATGTGTTCACATCTTGCTTTTCCTTTCTTCCCTTTTTCACTTGATTTGTTCTTGACTTCTGGGGTGGCAGCAGAGAAAGGGCACAAGAGAAGACGGAGAGATTGTTTTGTTCATGTGAAGTGCAATCTGCATGCATTTTTTGGACAATATTAAAAATGTCCACGGGAACATCTTGCTGTATTTAAAGTATGCTTGACAAAACGCGTCTGTTTTTACAAGGACTATCCGTGATGATCATGAGCTGCACATACACCCTGCATCAGTACTCTATGCGGAGAAGCCGCCTCGCTGGTAAGCCCTTCCTGCTGCTCAGCCTCTGTCTGCTTTTAATAAGGCCTAGTTCTCGTCATCTCTGGCTCCCCAGCACCTGGCACAAGGCCTGGAATGCAGGTGCTTTGTACACATTTGTTGACTTCATTATGCTGCGTTGTCTATAGAATTTCAGCTGTATCAAAACTCTACTTAAGGAAACAGTGGTAATTAGTCTTCTCACTCATCCACCTAGCAATTGTTTATTTTCACCCACTGAGAAGATGCTAAACCCTGCCCTTGGCATAGTGTAGAGATGAATCGGAAGGGGGCCCATAGCTGTCAGGTAGAGATATACACAGATTCCAGCACCTTAGGAGAAGGGCTTTGCTAGAGGGATGGGTAGTGCTTAGGGGGTACTTCATGTGCCAGGGAGAATCAGGGCAGGCTTCATGGAGGAAATAACATTTGCTCTGGACCAGGAAACAAGAGTATTCAGGCGGAAGGGGCTTAAAGGGCATTTCAGAGAGAAGTAGCAAGTGCAAAGCCATGAAAACAAGGAGCTGCATGTCTGGGACTTGGGGAATCACTGGTATGGCTGGCCCAGAGCATGGCCCGTGAAGTGTATAACACTGCCTGGGAAGGAAGAGGTAAGAACAGAAGTCCAGAGTAGGCATTCAGACATCTTGATGGCATTTTGACAGCTTACATTTATGTCTGCCCAGTTTAATAATAAAAATTTTGGACTTTTGTATGTTTTTTTAATTCCCTTTTTCTAGTAATTTATTTATATTGTATTTTGCAAAAATATTGGAAATTTTAGAGACAACAACAACTGTCCCTTCAACAATTGAAGGAACCCTGGGAAGAACGCTGGGAAAGAGAGTGATTGTGTGTGGAGAGAGGAAGGGAATGAGAGCAGAAAGGTCTGTGGTAAGATAGTTTGTATTCCAGACCAGTGGTTTTCAAAGTGTGGTCTCCAGACAAGCATTGGCATCACCTGGAAGCTTGTTAGAATGCAGATTCTTTAGGCCATGCCCAGTCCTAGTGGGTTTGAATCAGAAAGAGAGTGAATCCCACCTGTATTTTAACCAAGACTTCCAGGTATTTCTGATGAGTGGTAAAGTTTGAGCTCTCTCCTCTAGACCAAGGAATTAGACATTTCACTGTGACCAGTGCAGTCCTTAGCTTCTTAGGTAGAGAGCAACTTGGTTAGTTTTGGGTTTAGAAGGTTACCCAGTGGCCATTATTCTGCAAGTTAAGTTGAAGAGGGAAGCTAAACCTCAGTTCTGGATCCTTTTTCAAGAGTTTGCTGACTTTTGGGTGGTTAAATTTGGGAGTTGCTTAAAGAAAAAGGCTTTTCTTTGATTTGTGTTATTCCCACGGAGCTCCGAAGGGCAAAGGAAGAATGGGGAACTAGAGCCAGCCTAGAGTAGAACCAGCATTCAGGTGGCGAAGGAAGGGAGGGCCCCACCTGCAGTGTGCCTGGTGTGTTTATAGTTGTGAGGGAAGCCCTGAATCAATTCTCTGGATATCTCAGAAATGAATATCTACCAAATGCACTCCTAAAATCTGGGGACTTGAAATTATGTTCTTGGTTCTTTGGTTGTCTATTACCTCAGCCTCATATGTCTTTTTTTCCTTAAATAAAGGTATAATTTATATACAGTGAAAAATGAGTTTTGATAAATTTGTATACACAGGTAACCCACAGTCTAAATATATTTTTATCATTCCAGTAAGTTCCCTTGTGTCTTTTTACAGTGAATTCCCAGCCCCTTTGAGAATCAGGGGAGCCTTTGCCTGTTTCTGTGTTTTCTAAAAAAAAAAGGAATTGGACTCTGTAAATGCAAAAAAAAAAAAAGTTCTGTAAATGCAATCCTTCACTTATAATTGAAATCCTTGAAATCATGTAGGACTGAAAATCTTATTTGCAAGTTATACATGGACACACCATTGCCCACCACTCAGGTCATGAGGCTTAAGTGAGCAATATAAATTCATGTGTTTAGTTCATGCCTGGCACATAGAATAGATACCTGTTCAGGGTTAAGGGAAAGTGCTCATCATCTCTAATTGAGATTCATGATCATCATCATAAGCTATGGAAAATGAGCTCATGCTTCTTTCTTATTCCAGGGTTATCTACAATGAAGTTATACAAACCTCCAAGTATTACATGAGAGATGTGACTGCCATTGAATCGGCCTGGCTGCTGGAGCTGGCGCCACACTTTTATCAACAAGGAACGGTAGGAATGAACAGAGCCTGTGCCCCAAACCTCCTGGTAGCAGCCTCTATATATTTTTATTTTCTTTTCTGTTTAATATCCTGAGGTGTATCCTTCAGATGTATTTTTAAATATACATTTATTCTCCAATTTAATGACCTAAATGTATCCCCTGAAAAATGGAAAGACTATTACCATATCCCCAAAACATTGTGAGTGAAAACACTCTAGCATTTGCTTTGTCGTGTCGTACAGTTAAAAATAAGTCCCCTTAGCCAGCCAGGCACGGTGGCTCAAGCCTGTAATCCCAGCACTCTGGGAGGTGGAAGTGAGAGAATTGCCTGAGCTCAGGGGTTTGAGACCAGCCTGCGCAATTTGGCGAGACCTCATCTCTACAATAAATCACAAAATTAACCGGGTGTGGTGGCATGTGCCTGTAGTTCCAGCTACTTGGAAGGCTGAGGCAGAAGGATTGCTTGAGCTCAGCAGGCTGAGGCTGTGGTGGCTGTGAGTGTGCCATTGCACTCCAGCCTGGGTGACAGAGTGAGACTGACTCAAAAAAAAAAAAAGTCCCCTCAATCCCATAAGAAAAAAAAAGAAAATGTACTTTCAGCTCTTTCTCTTTCCTTTTGCTCTTATAAACCATTTCTAAAGAAATTGTATCACACTTTGGACCTGTGTTCATAAGGAGTGGCACAAATAGTTTCTGCTAAGAATGCCTCACGAGACCATGCAAGCTTCCGCCCCAGGTGGTTGGAGCCCCTTGACAGGTGATGCTGAGTACTGTTACTGGGTCCACATCTCCTGTGGCAGGCCATGTGCAGGACAGGCAGGAAGTGAGCACTTAGAGCAGATTCATAGTTTTCGTCTTTATTTTTGCAAAAAAATAAAAAAGGCCCTTTCAGTGAAAAATAAGTATATAAAATATAGGCCATACATTCTCCTAGCAAGACTTTAGATTGGGAGATGGTTATATATGGAAGAGCAAATCATAGTTCACAAGTTTCTTGACTAAATTCAGCCCATGGACCCATTGTTTGTTCTATACTGTGTGTTTAATAGGATTGTTTTGACCAGTTATTTAGTGTAATTATCGATATGGTTAGATTTAAATCGTCCCACCTTGCTATTTGTTTCCTATTTGTGCAATTTAGTCTTTGTTCCTCCCCACCTCCCTTTTTGAATTAATCAAATATTTTTAAAGTACTTTATCTTTTCTAATGGCTTTTTATACTGCGTGGGGTTTTTTTTGTTTTTTGTTTTGGTTTTTTTGGTGTGGTTTCTCTAAGGATTGCAGTATGCATCTGCAACTCATTATAATTGATCTTGAGTTAGTAATATTACCCACTTAGCTTCTAGTGTAAGAAAACTGCAACAGTGTATTTCATTTTCTCCATTTCATTCTTTGTGCCCTTGCTGCCATATATTTTATTTCTACCTATGTTTAATTTTGTTTTAAGCAATTAAATGTCTGCTAAAGAAATTAGGAAACAAAATAAGAGGGTTTATATTGCCCACATCTGTCAGTTCTGTCATTCTTCATCCCTTTGTGTAGATCCAAGTTTCTATCTGGTATCTTTTCCCTTTAGCCTGAAGAACTTCCTTTAATATATCTTTTAATGCATGTCTGTTGGTGAAATAATTCTCCCAGCATTCAGTTGAAAATGTCTTTATGGGGTTCGGGGGCAAGATGGCGACCTGGCAACCCGGTGTCTGAAGCCCTCTGCAAGGGAGATCTGCAGTGGGTCTCT